TTATACGAGGAAGCTTTGGGGGCTCTGTTAGGAGGATGTATCTGTGTAATTTCTTATTCTCCTTCAGATCACAAGCCCTGTAAAGTAGATACCTAACCTTTCTTGCTGTGACACTGCAAAGAGATCATGCTCTTTAGTTTTTTTCCCCTCAAGTCTGATGTTTAGTGCCAGTTTTCATAATAGAGTTGAAGTAAGTGTCCTAGAAGTAGTCGAGTTTGACCTTTGCGCTGTGAGCATGAAGCAAGTCAAATACAAAGAGTTCCCTACTGTATTATGGCTCTCCCTTTTGTACTGTGTAAAGTGATTTAAGCTAATCCCAACTGTTGAGAAAGTCAATGAATTTAACTTCAAATGGTTTGGTTTTATTCCTTTTTTATTTCAGAAAGATAGATTTGAATTAAATAGCCTGGAGGGAAGTAGTATCAGTGTCAGGAGGACCTCATGTAGACTGACTCGGCAGATTTAATTAGGGCCACTTGTGGGTGGGGGTGGGAGGAATTTTAGTGTGATCTAAATTCAGGCTCAAGGAGGTTTTGAGTATGATTATAGATTTTTATGCCAGAATTTCAGAATGAGAATGACACCTAATTCTGCATTGTGGGAGGGAGGAAAAAACATAGTATTTTTCTGCACGGTAGTGCTACTTGTCTCCTAAAGAATTTAGGTTACTGCATTTTTTTGATAACCCCAAATCCCTTTTTAAAATGAACATATTAAGTAGGAATGGCCGCTTTTTAAAAATTGGATATCAAATAGTAAATCTTAGTTACCTTGTGGCAGTGGGAGGGGGAGATGTGGGAGGTCCCTGAGAATAGGCAGTGTTTTTGGAAAGAACACATATTCTCCTTTATTCATTTTCTTAGCAGAAGCAGTTGTTTTAAATTCTTTAAAACACAAATACCTAATTGAGAGGGTTTTATCCATACTGAGATTATTTATCCCATACTGTTAATTACTTTAATCAGATACATGGATTAGAAGAAAGGAATTTCAGGTACCTTTTTTAATGGTTGATTAGTTCTGAGGGGAATTGAGGGGGAAAAGGAAGGGGAAAAGAATACATAATTTTTGATAATGGGGTACATGATGGGGGAGACTGAAACAAAAGTTAACAGTATAGGGCTTTCTAAGTGCCAGGTACTGTTCCAAGGTATTTTTACACATACTAATTTAATCATCACAGTGACCCTTGACCGCTAGCATGATCTCCATTTTATAGAATATCTGAGGCACTGAGAGGTTTAAGTAGGTGCTTTAGTCGTTGGGGACCCACTTCTGCATGGTAGCCCTGGAAATGTTGGAGACAATGTAGAGCTTGATTTAATGTAAAGGTGGACTTTTTGAGATGAAGGAAAATCCTGAGATGCCCCAGGAGGGGCAGCAATACAAAAAAGGGTGTATTCTTGGAAATCTCACTTCTGAGAAACATCTCAAATGCAGTCTTAAGTATTCTAATTGTAGGTTGTTGACTTGAGAGGTTTTAAGATGATGGGACCCCAAGGTATCACTTACCTTCCATAGTTATTTCCAGCACATGCAAAGGTGCTGACATCTCTTGCTTTTCCCCTTCTCGCCTTTCCCCTCTCCACTTCCATCTTTTGCCCATTCTCTCTCCGTTTGTATCACTCCTTCCCCACCCCCTTTTCTATCACTTATACAGGAAAAAAATCTTTCTGTCCATGTAACTTCCTTCAGCTGATTGCCCTCCTTTGCTGTCTTTTACCATTAAATTTCTTAAAAATGAGAGACTGTTGTGATTCTTCACTTACTCACTTTTTAACCTCTTGTCATCCGGTCTTCTGCTTCTGTTTGTCAAATTAGTGGATTTTTCCTCCTTCCTTTGTTCTCTCTGCAGCAGTTAACCTTCCTGATCCCGATTTCCTGAAATTCTCCTTACCCTTCTTTTGTGATGTTGTATTACCTTGATGCTTTTTTTGCTTGCTCTCTTTCTTCGTGTCGTTTAGATATTCATACCTGACTTTCAAATTTGTTTTTACTTCTCTCTTTTGTTAATGGAAACATCTCTTTCTAGGGCGTCAAAGTTTAAATGTTCCTGGTCCTTTCTTTCCCCTAATTTAGCATATGTTTCTGGAGTATCTACTATATACCAGGTTATTATTCTAGGTTCTGGTGTTTCAGCAGTGAATAAGAGACAAAGTCCCTGAATCGTAGAGATTACATTCTGGTGGAGCAGATAGTTAATAAACAGTGTAGTGAAACACATTTTAAAGGGTAGATTATGCTAAGGGTCAGTAGGCAGTAGTGGGAGAATGTGCTGTTTTAGGATAAGACACTTAGGAAAGGTTTCTGTGGGAAGGTGGTATTTGAGTGAAGCCTGAATGAAGCCGTAGAGTGAGCCATGTGGATATCTGGGAGGAGAGGCAGAGGAAGTATCAAGTAAAACCACCTTGACATGGCCTTTTGCTCTCCTGTGTTCTGGAGAGACAGACCAGTGTGACTGGAACACAGGGGGTCAGAGTGGTCGGAGTCTGAGTCAGAGAAGTTGGTCTTCTTAAGATCATGGAGGCCCTGGCTAGAATTTTGAGCATAAAAACCTAAGTGTGTTGGTAAGGGTTTGGAGGATCTTGACAGAAGAACAGCAGTATGGTATGACTTCGTATTTTGGAAGAATCACAGTTATGACTGTGTGGAGAGTACACTCTGTGTTTGAGGTGAGGGGGTGTGTGCGCAGAGGGGCGGCTATAGAGGAACCTCAGACAGCAGGAGACTCAAAGTCTTGACAAGAGATAATGGTGATTTGGAGTAGGATGTTAGCTCTGGATGTGATAAATGGTGATCAGATGAGCGATAGGTTCTGTAGAGAGCCAGCAGGATGAGCTGTTTGCTTGGGTGTGGGGCATGAGGAGAGAGGAGTGAGGGATAGTTTAGAGTTTTTAGGCTTGCAGCTGGCTGAGTGGAGGTTCCATTAGTGGGAAGATCTTAGGAGGGGCAGCTTTACTGGGGGGAGGGGGCATGGTGGAGTCAGTATTTCTTTTCTGTATGTTACGTTTGAGATACCTGTTAGACAACCTGGTGTACGTGTCAGTTATACTCCTCCATAGATCAGAGGTGAGCGTGGGGCTGGAGGAGATAACTTTGGGAGTCCTGCGAATATAGATGGACTGAATGGGATCATTTGGGGATGAATGAGTGTAGATAAAGAAGAGAGGTGAGAGGTCCTCCAGTGTGTGGACATCTGCAAGAAGAGGAGGCTCTATAAAAGATACTAAGAAGAAGTAGCTAGTGAAGTAGGAGGGTGTGATGTTCAGAAACTGAGTGAGGAGAAGGGGATTCAAGAAGGGGAAAGGGGTCAGCTATGTCAGATGCTGCTAGGAAATACAGTAAGATAATTCTTTGAGAACGTGTATATGGCCACATAAGTGTTCCATCATGGTGCAGTAGCCTTCTAACTGAACTCCTCACCTGTTCCTCCTAGTTATATATTAAATGAGCCCTGATGACTTGTCCTAAACTATATTCTTCACTAAACTTTTAGTGCTTATAGCATAGTGATTAAAAGCATGGACTCTATTTTTGAGAGTAATACATGCATATAGCAGGAAATATGGAAAATAGGGGAAAAGTGCATTCTTTTGTAGAATAACTTACAATTTTCACCTATTTCCTGCTATTCCTTTTTTTTGTTTGTCTAAATGTACATACACAACATTTCATTTGTTTGTTACTAACAAGGATCACACTGTGTTCTCTAGCCAGCATTTTTCTCATAATTTATTTCTCTTCTGTATTTTATAATTTACTGGTCAAAGTATATAAGCAGTTTCGTGATTCTGTTTGTTGTCAAATTGCTCTTCAAAAAGATTGTACCATTTGAAAGTATATTTATGAAGAATTTTGTTCTCTTTAAATTTTAGGATAGACCACTATCTTGTTGAACTCTTAAATGAAATTCTCCTTGGATACAAAGATGAGGACTAGATAACTTCTTGAGGTTCCTTCTAACCCCTAGGATGAAGATAATAACTAACATTTGTATAGTGCTCTAAAGTTTACAGAGTGAGTTCTCACACATCATCCCACTTGATCCTCACAACAGCCTGTGAGGTAGGTAGGACAGGTATTGTTATTCTCATTTTAGAGGTAAAGAAACCGATAGAGAAGTTAGGGGACGTGGTCAGGTTTTATTTGAGTGTTTCATTAGAGACTTGAATCTAGGCCTTTTGATCTAAATAATCATATTCCTTTTTACAAGATTTCATACAACTGCACATTTAGAATTGCTGTATGTCAGCTACTTAAGTGATACTTGTTATATACAGAAATAAGCCCATTGATAATATACATACTGTGTTCGTATTTTCTTCAGTGTCCCCCAGTCCTTTTCCACGCCCCCTCCCTTGCCATTAAGTCAATGACTCTATCTCTCTTTTGACTAGGGGAAGGTAATTTAATTATATAGTTACATTAAACACCTGTCATTTTCCCTAGCATTTGGGGGAGGGAAAAGTTATATTATGTTTTTCATTTCTTTGTGTGTGTGTGTGTGTTTGCTACAACTCGAAAGTAGATCTATATTACTCTCACACATGTAGCATAAAGTCTTTAAGGAACAGTATACAGTTAGAATTAGAATCTTTTGGTTCTAGCATGAACCTAGAATCACAAACTTTTCAGGGTATTACACTCTTTTTTTGTACTACTTTAACCAAAATTGAGATAATTGAGTACTACAGGTATAGTTGCTTATGATGTTCACCAAGGTGCATGAGTGATGAGTGAGAGTGAGTGATAGTGGAAGTCGAATCAGAAGAATTACAGCTCGTCTTCTCTTTGACTACTTATCTCAGAAAGCAGAAGTTTGTGAGACTGAGTTGGGGACTTGGAAGTGGCATTATCACATTTTAGGAATAGACCTAGAGTTTCAGGACTGCTTAGTACTGCATTAAACTGTCTCACAGTGTTTTCTGTACTGCCTTTAAATGTTTAACATCACCAGTATTTTTAAAAATTAATTTTTTTGTTTTTTGTTTTTTTTCTAGTTGTTGGTCTTGACGATATTATGGATGAAGGAGTTGTTAAAGAAAGTGGCAATGATACCATTGATGAAGAAGAACTGATTTTACCTAACAGGAATTTGAGGGACAAAGTAGAAGAAAATTCAGTGCGATCACCAAGAAAATCACCTCGATTAATGGCACAAGGTAATTCTTCCAAAGACTAGTGAAAAAATCAGGTATAGGGGCAGATGTGATAGGCAGCAGACTTGCTGAGGGTGGATCACGTTCTCTCGGTGTTTGCTGCTAATATGAGCGTTTTGATAATCAGTTTTGAGATTATATCCATTTGTGGGTATACTTTTTAAAATTCTTTATTGAGGTTACACATTCACAGTAGTTTGAAGGGTTGTCTAGGTCAGTAAGTTTCTAATACTCATCATCTTACCACCTGTTTTCCTTTCCCCAGAGGAGACTACACTTAACTCTTTCATCAGGTTTTATTAATTTTTTGATAACATACTTTCATGTCTCTGAGTAACACGCGTTACTCAGATTATTCTGATATGGATAAGTATTTATTGATTTCCTACTCTGGATGGTGAATTTAGCATTCTTTTCTCCCCTTGTTCCCCCATCATACAAAAGTACATTTTTCCATCTTTCTAATACATAATTTTGTAAGATCAGTAGTAATTACTTAACATTATTGTGACTTAGTATGCCATTAATGATGATCTATTTAATAAGCTATAGTTACTTTTACCTTACAACTTTTTGTCTTTATGACTTAATAATTGACTTTGTTCATTTGCTTACAGTTTTGTATATTTGTACACGCAGTTTTCAGTCTGTATATCAGTAGTTACACCCTAACTACTCTGCCAGGGCCTGAGTCTTTCCTAGAGATATTTGTCCATATCCGATATTCTATCATTTTCATTTTATTGAGGAAGTGTCTCTTGAAGCCTTCTGATCTGCTCCTGTGTGCCACTGGTGTGTTAGCCGTCAGTGAGCCTGCTGCCTGGGTGTGGGCCAGAGATCTCCCTTTACCATTCTTCTGAGGATTCTGTTCTGTATTGCAGTCCTATTTTCTTTTTTCTGGTGGCGACACACTTCTTGTAGTAGTTTTGTGAAAAAAAGGAACATGGATATATATATATATACTTAAACTTCATATGCTTGCAAATATATTTAATCTGTTCTCTCATTGGAATCACGGTCTGATTGAACATAGAATTCAAGGATGGAAATCGTTTTTCTTCAGCTATTTGTAGGTGTTGTTCCATTGTCTTCTAACTTCAGTGGTGTTGAGAAGTTTATTTTGATTCCGTTTTTAAAAGACTTAAATTGTTTTGGTATGTTACCTATTTTCTTTGGGAAGTTTGTGGGATCTTTAACTCTAGTGTTTTGATATTTCTGATAATGTATCTTAGTGTAGATGTATTTCATGTATTGAGCTGGGTACTTAGTAGGTTTTTTTAGTTTGTAAACTGTTAATTCAGTTCTGGGAAAATCTGTTGAATTATTTCATTGATTATTTGCCTTTTTATTTTCTCAGCTCTTGATTTCTCTAAGTCCCATTCACATGTTAGATAGCAAGGACTGACTTTTCTGTTTTCTTTTTTTTGCCTACTTCCCCCCTCCTTGTCTTTTTCCTCTGCTTGCGGAAATTTTCTCATGTTTATCCTTCAACTTTTTCATGAAATTTTGCATTTCTAACTTCTGAATGTCCTTTTGTTTTGTTTTGTTTTGGGAATAGTCCTTTTTGTAACATTCTGATCTTGTTTCATGGATGCAAGATCTTTTGTCTTTCATAAGGCACTTAAAGTGTTTTAAAGTGTTTTTACTCCCCCCCCTTTTGTTTTTTGCTTCTGTCTTTCATGTTAAGAGACTTTTCCTAAAATGTCTGATGTTTGATAAGTTGGTCATGTTTAAGAGTAGGGAACTAAAACTGTGTGGAACCTTTTAAATGTGTGAGCTGAGTTTTGTCAACTATGAGCATCACTATTTGGTAATCTGGTTGTGTTATTTTTTTGAGGAATCCCTGTTGCTAGAATGCAGACTCATTAGATTGCTAGCATATTATGGGAACCCTTGAGGGAAGCTCATGGTGGCATCTCAGCTTTCAGTATATACAAATTCACATAATCTCACAAATTTCCATGTACTTAAGTGCCAGTCTTAGCTATGCCTGATGTTCCTTCGTCTAAAAACTGTTCTTACACTCTCCAGAGAATAAGCCTCTAGTCTTGGATTAGGACCAGAGAAGGGCAGTTGTCCAACAGATAAAGTAGAGGGGAGGGAGCTTGGGGTCTAATTGCTTTTTAAACAGCTTTCAACTTACCCTCTTTTTAACCACCTGGCTTCATCCCTACTTTAGAATCATCTGGGGTCACCAGTTCCTAAGCTTTTTGAGGTATTAATGGTATTGGTTCGACGAACACTGCCGGATTAGTGTTTATCTTTTTTTGGATCTCCTGCATCAGTTACTTCTTGATCATCTCTTGTTTGGCTGCCAAACTTGTCACTGTCATCTTCTCTCCTGTTCTTCCTTTCCTTTTGTATAGCTTTAATTGTGGGGTTTTGAGAAGTAGATTAACTTATGTGCATGTATTCCCCATCTTTTCCTAAATTTTAATTTTTAACCGGTTTTTAAAATCAGTTTTTTGATATATATTTGTGACTGTGAGAAATGAAAAGAGTAGAATGAACATTATAGACAAATAATGATAATATTTGGCCTGTGCAGCCAGGCGTCAGACTAAGACAGTTTATATTTAGAGGAGAAAAAGTAACTTTATACTTAGCTCAATAAATCCATTACTGTTGGAAAACAGTTTTTTTATTTGAATACCTTCAACAGTTGAATGTGCTATTCATTTGTCAGCCACTTAGGTAATAGGTGTTAAAAGTTCTTCATTTACTTTATTTCAAAACAGGTAAATATAGTTGAGTTTTGACTATTATAAACTGTTTTCAAAGCTTTAAAAATCATGTAAATATTGATAATCAACCATTAAAATTTTAGTTATTTAAAAATGTTATATATCTGAGCCTGCGATAAATAGTACATAATCCACCAAGTAATTTTTGTAAGTTGTTGGGTACCTACCTGCCGACCGCATATTGTGCCAAGTCCTGAGGGAATTAGAAGGAGTCTCTGAGATTAGGATGACCATATAATTGTCTAAACTGGGACACTTTTGAGTGTTAGGACCACAAGTACCTCCTAGGACTGTTAGAGACAAATGAGGACGGTACCTTCTGTAAGGGTCTCGCAGTTCAGTGATATATGACAAATTAGGGAAATGTTCTATATATTGGCACATAGTCGAGTTTTACATAGAAAGGAAGGAGACTTTTTCTTTTAATATCAATTGGTGGTGTTCAGTTTTCATGCAGAGTTGATTGATTCAGAGGTGTTGGATATGCGTAGGCTTGAATATAGCTTATTATTTTGTATTTCGGTTTGTGGGTTGTTTCTCTACTTAGTGAATTATTTAACTCTCTTTCCAATTTCTTTTCACTTTGTGCTCCTCCTTCCCTTGGGGGATGTATCCAGTTAGGGAAAGGAGGAAAATCTCATTTAGTGAATTCTTTGTTAGGAGCATTGTTAAAAGTGGGAAGCTTTATTAAATTATTGTTGTACTTTATTCATTGTCCCTTATGATATATTTTCTAGGTTTAAATCTTTTTGTTTACAGTTTCTCTTTTTGTTGACTTGTGTTTAGTACTTTAGTCTATACTTCTTTCCTTCTGTTGGGAATAGCTTGAATGCTAAAATGGAGATAGGAGGGAAGCACATTCATAAAGGCATTAGAATCCTTTTGAGGCTGTGCTTTGAAACTCACACAGGTCCTGTTTGTGATAGACGATTTAGTACAGATTTTATTGGCACCTGAATTTGTTGGTTTTATATATTTGACAATATTTAATATTAAAACTGAACGACAGTCTTGCTTTAAGATGGGTATTAATATAAGGGGACCCCATTTTATTGATTTTACTCCCAATTTACTTTTATAGAAAAGAAATTTGATGAAAACATTTCTGTCTTACTGTAAAGTTTAGTATCAGTCTGAATTTTAGAGAGGTTTTTTCCTGCCCCAGAATTGATAGAACTTTGCTAAGTATAAAATTTATGTATATTAAAAAAAATCATCATGAGTAAGTGTTTAGTACATTTTCATTGAAATGAGCAAATACATTTTATAGCTCAGAATAAAGAAGCAATATATTCTAAACTGCACTGAAATAAAAATACATGACTAAACAACTAAGTTATTTTTATTTATTTTTTTCCTTTGTGATAGAACAAGTAAGAAGTTTGCGACAAAGCACTATTGCCAAGCGTTCAAATGCAGCACCTTTAAATAGCACAAAAAAAGCATCTGGAAAGACTGTATCTGCTCCTAAAGCAGGGGTGAAACAACCAGAAAGGTGTCAGATAAAGGAAGAAGTTGATTCATCACTGAAACCTGAGCACCATAAAGAGAGCAGGAGGAGCAGCCGACATAGTGCACAGACCGAAGTAGCAGTGTCGTCTTGTCTAGAAATGAAAGATGAAGCTGGATTAGATTCTGAGCACAAGTGTAATAATCAGGGAGGAGCAAATGTACCATCTCATGAGTTAAATTGTCCACTCCTTTCAGAGACTTGTGTTAGTATTGAAGAAAAGAAAAACGAAGCTCTGATGGAATGTAAAACTACGACTGTTAGTAGCCCATTGTTTAAGTTTTCAGATAAAGAAGAACATGAACAGAATGATTCCATTTCAAGTAAAATGGATGAGACTGTTGTTGAAGAAACGAAGGCAAAGGTAGATGGTGAACAAGAATCAGAGGAGACAGTAAAATTACCCCCTGAAGATGACCACACTGTTGAGGAACCTGCGTCTTCTGCTGCTTTTTCTGGTGATGCTGCTTGTGCAAACCCAAATAAGACGGAAAACAGCCTTGTAGGTTTGTCTAGTGCTGTGGATGAAGTACATGAGTGTAATATGGAATTGAAGAATACTGTGGAAGTTGCTGACAAAGCTAAGAACTCCCTTCATGGAAATGAAATAGAGCCATTGAGTTATTACAAAGACACAGAGTCTAATGATCAGCAGTTGGAGGGCACCGAATTTAATAAATCTAACTTAGAGGTGGTTAATACTAGTGCTTTTGAATCAGAAAGTAGTATTTTAGATAATGCTATTTGTGATGCACCTGACCAGAATTCAAACCAGTTGAATATTGTTGGAAGTATTAAAATGGAGTCTCCTGAGACAAGCCTTCAGGATGACAGAGACAGCCAGTCAAGCAGTGTTTCTTGCTTAGAGTCAAAAAATGTAAAATCCAAACATACAAAACCGATAATGCATTCTAAGCAAAACATGACCACAGATACTCAGAAAAAAATTGTTGTAGCAAAGCATGAATTAATGCATAACAAAGCTAAAGTCAGTGTCAAAAGTGTGAAGCGAAATGCTGATGAGTCTGAATCTAAGCAGAATTTTCAAAGGCCTGTCAAAGTGAGAAAAAAACAAGTTGATTCAAAGATCCAGAGTTTCAGTTCTGGGGTTAAATCTGTGAAAAATGAAGCTCATTCTATATTCAAAAAGACATCACAGGATCAAAATTTAGTTCAGATTTCAAAACCCTTAACTCACTCTTTCAGTGATAAGCCTCATGGTCACCCTGGTTGCACTAAAGAACCTCATCATCCTGCACAAACTGGTCATTTATTGCATTCCAGCCAGAAACAGTGCCACAAGCCCCAGCAGCCCGCTCCAGCGGGGAGAACCAATAGTCATATGAAGGAGGAGCTTGAGCATGCAGGTGGTGTCGAACATTTTAAGGAAGAGGATAAACTGAAATTTAAAAAACCAGAGAAGAACCTACAACCTCGCCAAAGAAGAAGCAGCAGAAGTTTTTCTTTGGATGAGCCACCATTGTTCATTCCAGACAACATAGCCTCCGTAAAAAGGGAAGGCTCAGATCATAGCTCTTCATTTGAAAGCAAATATATGTGGACTCCCAGCAAGCAGTGTGGGTTTTGCAAAAAACCGCATGGCAACAGGTGTGTGTGTGTGTGTGTGTGTGTGTGTGATGTGTACATTGAAGACAAATTGCTTTCTTTAGGGTGGGGTTAGTGTGAGAACTTTTTATAGAAAGAGATTATTTAGCATGCGAAGACTTGCAGAAACAGAAACCCCTCATCAGTCCTGGATAAGTGATAGAAAGATGGAGCCACTGAATTTACAGATACATCATCCTAGAACATTTTAAAACACCATGGTCTGACCAGCAGCTGGCATATATGGAAATGTTTTGTCATTGTAACCAGTTAGAGAGTGTAATTTAGTCACTGCATCTTTAAAAAAAAATTCCTTTAATCAGAAAATTGTTACAGTGCTTTTGGTCTGTAAGTTAAATAATAATTTGTTTGGCTTAAGAAAAACTAGTAATAAAGTGTGAAGGTCATAATGAAAATTCTCTATATATATTTTTTTAAATGAAGCACACCTATTGTCACTTAACACCACTACTTCATAACTATCAAACTTGACCTTAGAATGAAATTTGATAGCTAAAACAACTGTTAAATTACCCAGGTGGATTTTGTATGTAACATGGGATGGAGTAAAACATGTATTTCATTTTTGAATGTTTTAGTGATTTGGATTTCTTGTGAATTCTGATCTTTTAAAAAGATTTCACAGCACTGCCTTTCAGCACTTACCTAAGGATTCAGTGTTTTATAGTTTTATGATACTGCTGCCTTCTCTGCCCCCCATGTGTTTTTTATTTGCTAACTTTTTAAGAAAAGGCGAACAAGAGTTGAAGTGGAGTTTCCAGCTACAAGATTATCCTGTTCAAGTGTTCAGATTGCTGTTGGAACTTCTATCAACATTGATATGATAAAAGAACGTTGTAGCTTGCACATTGTAGTATTATCTTTACTCATGAAAGTAAATGTTAGGATGACTTCCCAGCAGAATTAGATTACATAAAAATCAAACTCTTTAGGGAGGGACAGTATAGTACAGTGTGGTGTAATATATTATTTTGGTGTGAAAGGTGATTGGGAGTTCTTGAGGCTATTCTGTAAAAAATCACTTTTATGTCAAACGATTTCTTCATTTGTGATTCAGTCCATGGCCTGTTTTTAGTGTCAGTGGCTACTTCTTTAACAGCATTTTCCAGTTTTAAAAAACTGACTTGTTTGAATATAGTGCTACATTTGCCCTCACTTTTGTGGTCTTTAGAAAGCTTTTTTGTTCAAAACACTTTATTCAGATACTCTAAAGTGGGCCTGCCAATTTTCAGGCCTGCAAAAATTAAGGACTGGATGGTCCTTGTAAGTGCTCCTTTAAATGAGTCCTTTTTTTTTTTTTTGCCAGAATCTTCTAAAAATCACACTGACATGTGGTCAGAGTGATGAAACAGCCTTAAACTGAATGAGTTTCTAAAATGAAACTTTGGTCTAGAGTTGGAAGCCATGTTAAGTACGTTATAAGGTAGCTTTTTGGAGATAAACATGATGGCCTGGTCTCAGGAGTTTGCCCAGGGTTTTTAATGATTATCACTTCACGAACCTCAACAGATGTCTTCCTAAAATGAAGATTAAGTGTTAAGTCCTATTGTTTTTTTACCTGATGCCACCTTTTGGATCTACTGCGTAAAACCTACAGTTTAGTTTCTTTGCCCCAGTCTAGAACATGACTTAGAATATTAGATGTGTAGGGATCTTAAGTTTACCCTGTGTAATTGATACGAATAATATTGGAAACACTCAATTTTGGAAGCAACATTTCACATTGAAAAATTACTTCAATTTTGTGAATAAAGAAGCCTAAGTGATTTTTTTTTCTTTAAATATTGACTAGCCTTTGTCCTTCTTTGATGCATTCTGCTTATATACACTGAGTTTATTTAAAAGGTGAACCTGTTATGCAGCATGTAATTTTCCTAGATTAATCTATGTGTAAGAATATGAATTTATTAGGAAGGACATATCTGGAAATAATTTTCATCCATTTCTTTGATCTCATGCACTAGCTACACTGAAAGCTATTTGCTGATGTGGCCTTTTTTTTTTTTTAGCACTTTTGACAAATTTACTACTGTAAAACTTTTATAACTCTTCAACATTTTACATGTGTTGCAACTGAGGTTAGCTTCCTGAATGTTCTTCCATTTGGAAATTATATTTTTAAGTAAGGATTTGTTTGTGGCATGGCCAAATGTAGTATTTGACCATAAGCAACTTCTGTACGTACCCTAAAGACAGTGAGTATTGACTGTCTCATATACACATCGTGCTTCCATTTATTTTCCTAATTCAGCCCTTACAGCAAAGGTATATTCATTATTTTAAAAATCAGACTATTTAGTGCTCTTTTTAAGTGGCCTTTGAACCTCTTTTAAAATACGCCAGTTGGCATTTTGGAAGGAGGAAGTCTTATTCTTCATATTACCTGCTTCGTAGTTTCTAGTGCTTCCCTACCTTTCCAGGTGACTTTTGTATCTTTAGTTTATATTACACTTACTTGCCTAGTTGTAGAAGATTTGTTTATTGGATGAAATTTAAAAACAAAAATATTTCCTTAGCATAATGGAGCTTTAATACTCAAACAAGAAGCCTTTTTCTGAGAAGGAAATTTTCTCTTAGAGTAAGTGATTCTGGTTTTTCTTAGAAGTTTAAATTTAATCTCTGCAGATTGGATTGTTAGTGACAAAAATAATGATGTAATATTTATGTGAAATAGAATCATTTTACTGAGTATATACACTTTTATAGTAACATAGTCTAGATTGTTACTTAGAGGAAGCACTTTGCAGAACTTGAAGGCCCATCGTTAGTGAATTTGTGATGTGAATTTGCGAAGAACAGAAGTTCATAGTGTTGCCTCTGGTTTACTTTGAAGAAACTTGAAAACTTTCTAAGAATACATTTTGGGTTATGCCAAGAATATTAGAATTATGATTAAATTTTAAATCAGGTTTAAATTATAGTAGGATTTTAAGTTTTGTGATGAACATATCACAATAGGAGAACACACCAAAAACATTTCTGAACTTTTCTGTTTAATTTGGTCCACTTAATTGATCCAGAGCTAAACTCGACACATTAATTATCTTAGTGAAATATTTAACCTCCAGATTATAGTCTTTTCCATAGATTTTTGCCTATTGGTAGGCAAAATTTCAAGGACAGAATTTCAACGACAGAGCAGAAAATGGGACAGTAATTATGTTAGCTGTTTGATTCATACTCCACCCCTTTTTTAATCCATGTGGAAGAATAATAGAAAAAGGGAAGACAGTATATATGGTGTATGAAGTTTGTAGTACTGCTGTAGTATACATTTTTAGATGACCAGTTTCACTTTCAAGTGAATCAGTTACATTTTCCCCTAGAACATGTGGACATTATATTTTATCGTCTTGTTTTGATTTCTCAGAATTTTGTTTAAGTGCACTTTTTTTTTCTTTTTTTAAGGAAAACTAAACCTAAGATACATCTGTCAATGGCACTGGAGTTTTGAAATTTGCTTTTTAGAGCTTCTCAAGTTTGAGGAGACATTGCCATAGTAAACTTGGATCACTGTGATATAATTAATACATTTCACGTAATAAAATATCTCCCTGATTAAAGATTTGAAATTTCTTAATACGTGCTTTATGATGATACTTGTATTTGTATTTGGGGCAAAAGCATAGCTATGGTCATAGTGTAGATTTTTAAATAGTCATATTGAGCTATTTCAGGCTTGTTTTGAAGAAACTTGAAAACACATTAGCTTTCTTTCAGTATTTCAAAAGCATAGTTCTTTTCAAGAAGTAGCAGTTCTTACAAGTTTGTAACCTGAAATAGGAAAGCTTTTTAAGTATTTGTATTTTTCAAATTTTGTATTTTTTTATTGGCTGGAAGATCTGTATCACTGACTCATGGACCCATCTAAAATCTTCCAAACCGAGAGAAACCATTTCTGTTTTGCAAATACCACATTGATGGAAAATTTTCTTACTAAGCCTATGAATACAGAAATAATTCTGTATTTTTTTATTCTTACTTAAGGTGTGATTTTTGTTTCAATGATTCTTTTTCCCCCAAATGAACTGTTGAGGAAGTGACAACTTATCTGAAAACGCTAGCACAAGCATTACCAGTTAGGGTAAAGAACGGTAAATTACAGACATGAAGAAGTCAAGTTTCCTCAGTACGTAGCAGTGTTGGTCCACAATAAAAAGTCACTGGAGGAAGAAGGGTGGAGTGTGCTCCTGTTAGGGAATGAGGTATTTGGCATTACTGTTTCAACACATCCTATAAGGATCGAAACTCAAATGTCCTGGTTTTTCTAGTTCCTACAAAAACAAGACCTCTGGTATATTTAGAGAGAGTTGGTCATATCACCCACCCAGTGTATTACCTTTAACATCTTCCTGTTGGACCACGGGTTTTTAAAAGGGATTTTGTCACTGTTGGTGGTGCCACTATTCTTACCAAAATCAGCACATAGTCTTTAAATCATTAATATACTTAAATCCTTCAAAATCTTTAAAACATACGAATTACTAACCTGAAGAAGAAAAAAGGAAAATATTAAACATAAGTTATCTTTGTCATTTTCCTAACAATGGGCTGAAAAGTATGTAAAAAAAGATAATTTATCCCCCAGATTGCTGTTTATATGTCTGTTTTCCTGTAAATTCAAAAGTAATTTCAGGTATTTTTCCTAAGTTAGAAAAACTTTTTAGAGTCATATGTCTGGGCTTTTTCATTTGTTAGTGAAATTATTTCTTAGATAAAATGTAGTAGAGGGGAAAATGTTTGTAAGGGGGCTGTTTGGAAATTATAAACACCCTGAATAATAGTATCCTCATGTTAAGATACAACATTGATCTTTATTTGGGAAAACAAATTTATTATCTAAAGCACAAAGTCGAGCAGTAAGGAAGCCCACATTCAAAAGTATAAGATTCTTCAGCTAAATCTGTTAACACCATGAACCACAATATTTTGAGCTCAAAGAATAGTTAAGGTAGTTGATAAAAAATATGAGAAGCTAGTGTTAGTTTTTGAGTTGCATTTTTTTTGCATCTGGTTTTTCTTTTTGTCATTTAAAATGATTCGTTGGATAAATGACTCCCTAATTTTATGTATGATTTCAGGTCTATGTGGTAAATGTAATTGCGACTTTGATGGGTTGTTTATGGTCAGATTATCACAGATCTTACCACCCTTCTCAGTGGAAAAGTGCTGTTACTCTGTACTTTGTTGTTCTATGCAGTATACTGACAAAGTCCTCTTGTCCTCTGTTTTCATCCTTACGTTTTTCCCCTGAGTATTTTCTTATTTATGCTAGATAGAGGGGAGATATTTGACTTAAAGTTCCATTTCCAAAGAATATTCTTTTCTTTAAAAACATTCTCCATGTTGAACTAATAGAATGGATAAAGTTAGAAAACCTGCAAAATACCAAAAATACTGAAAATTCAATTTAGACTCAGCACTGGTTTTTAAGAAAATGTATTAAATCAGTTTTTTTCTTTCTTTCCAGGTTTATGGTTGGCTGTGGGAGATGTGATGACTGGTTTCATGGCGATTGTGTTGGGTTAAGTCTTTCTCAAGCACAACAAATGGGAGAGGAAGACAAAGAATATGTCTGTGTGAAATGTTGTGCTGAAGAAGATAAAAAGACTGAAATAGTAGATCCAGATATTTTGGGAAACCAGGCTAAAGCTGAAGTCCATAGTGAAGAGAAAGCAATGGAATACGAAAAGCTTGGGTTACCAAAGCACAGTGTAACAAATGACAAAACCAAATATGTAGATGACACAGTGAAGCACAAGGTCAAAATTTTAAAACGGGTGAGATGCTCATTAATGCATTGTTTTTAAGCTCATTGTTTTGTCATTTAGTTGAGTTGTCTCCATTTTGTCTAAAAAGACACTGTAAAACATTAACATTCTAAATGTTTTGAGAAACCCCTCTAGTCTCTTTCCTAGGATACTGCTGTATACTATCAATTAGTATATATTTAGGGGAATTTCAAAATCTTAACATTTAAAAAAAAAGTTTCTTTAGTTTTATTATTTTGGTAGGGAGGTAATTAGATTTGTTTATTTATGTTTGGAAGGAGTACTGGGGATTGAACCTAGGACCTTGTGCATGCTAAGCTATACTTTCCTCCCAGAATTTTTACGTTTTAATGGCAAAAAAAATAGTTTAGGTTATTGACCTCACTTGAAATTAAAAATTATTGCTCTAAAGTCTGGGGAAGTACTAATGAACTTAATAAGAAAAAGCCCCTGCCCTCATGGCTCTTAAATATAAATGGGAAAAGACAGATAATAAGTAGTTACTGTATCAGAAAAGAAACCGAGGTTAGTCTGATTTTGTAAATACATGAGCCATGCAAGTGGTAACTGCTTCCTTTTCTTTTTGATGGTGGTGAAACTTACTTGGACTAGTCTGATTTTAGCTTACGGAATTTGCTTTTTAAATACCACTCCTTACCCCTGGATTTTATGTTGAACCATTTGTTGTGTTCCTGTTGTGTGCCAGGCATGGTGCCAGACTTGAGTATGTAACACCGAACGAAATATGTTCCTGCTTTCAAATATCTAGTTGCAGAGAATGAACAAGGAACTAAAAAATGAGAGGATTCCCAGTCTAGAGAAAATCAGTTTTTTATACGTACTCTGTCTTCTTAAAACCTGTGATTATATTTCTGTACACATTGTTCTTCTCACTAGTATGATGGGATTAATTATTCTCAAGAGTCTCAGAGAATTCTGATTTCGTTTGTAGTTATTTGCGGGTTATAATTGGACATGAGTATTAGGTATCCTAATGATTTGTTCTAACTTATGGGAGTTAAAATTGCCAATAGGTACTCTGAAAATTTGATACTTTTGTATATAGGTAAATGTGACTTTGGTTTTCACTGTTTTCTAGAACAAATTTAGATAACTTATTTCTCCACAATCACCCCCCCTTTTTTTTTCCATATCCACAGCCAACTAAGAGAACTCTTAATTATCTTATATCTAATTTTCTTTCTAATACTGCTCCTGGGAATATGATATCAGTGTTTTTAAATTCTTTACAGGCTGTTTTGGCTTCTGCAGAAAATAGGTGCTAACAGATGGATTTTGGATGAAAGGATGACTGTCTTTTTTGCTGATAATTGAGAGTTAGTTTTGTATATCTTCAAAAAAACAGTTATTGGGCTAAAGAATGTAATATGTTTGATATCTTAATAGGTTGTAATATTAATTAGGTTTAATTTTTTTCATCTACATACTCTTGGGGCTTGCTTTATATTTAAAGGTAGTTTAGTAGTTTTCACTGTAATGAATTAAATACTATTTTTTCCAGGATGCTGGTGAAGGCAAAAACTTATCAGACTGTAGGGACAGTGAAATCAAAAAATGGCAACTAGCCCCTCTTCGAAAGATGGGACAACCAGTTTTACCTCGGAGATCCTCAGAAGAAAAAAGTGAAAAAATACCCAAAGAGTCTACAAATGTTACTTGCACAGGAGAAAAAGCTTCAAAATCAGGTAGTAAGAATAATAGAAATTATTATATACTAATGCATATGTATTTTACTTCATATACTATCAATTAGTATATCTAGGGAAATTTAAACATTTTAACATTTTAATGACAATAAAAATAGTTTAGGTTATTGACCTTACTTGAAATTAAAAATTATTGCTCTAGATTCTGGGGAAGTACTAATGAACTGCCCCTGCCCTCATGGCATTTAAAAATACTAATAGGAAAAGACAGATAATAAGTAGACAAATAAGGAAATGGTATGCTGTTTTAGAGAATTTAGGCACTATGAAGTAAAAGTTGAGTAATGGGATAGAGAGTCAAGGTCAGGGAGAGTGGTGAGAGTTTGTTCCAGAGAGAATGGAGATGGGATCTGAAGGCATGCAGAGTTGGTTTGGAGGGAGGAATACTTAATGGGCACAGCCAGTCTGAAGGCTTTGAGGTAGAAACAATCTCTGCATTTGGAGAGCAAGAAAGTTATTATGGAATGATTAGAATGTAATACATGAGGGTTAGAATGGTGATGAAAATGAGTTTAGAGAAAATTATGTAGGAACTTTATGCCCATGACAAGACTTCATATTTTCTTCTGAATATAATGGGAAACCTTTAGAGGAGTTTTTACAAGGTAATGATGGATCAGTCTGGTTTCCTGTAGAGATTGGACTGTAGGGGTTAGGAGACAAGGAGGGTAGACCAGCTAGGAGCCCAGAGCAGCAGCCTAGGAAAGACATAGTAGCTGGGAGCAGAGGTGCAGTGAGGGTAGTGCGAAGTGATGAGATTCAGATATACTTTATAATAGACATGGCAGCCCTTGCGGATGGAGTAAATACAGGTAGATGAAGGAGAATCTTGGCATATGGTTAGATCAGTGTTGGTGCTATTTGCAGAGATGGGAAAGAGAAAATGATTTGGGGAGGAAAATTGAAAATTTACGTTTTGGGTATTTTAACTTTGAGATGCCTATTAGAGATCTAGGTGGAGATGTTTTGAGTAAACCTTTGGCTGATGAGTCTGGAGCTTAGAGAAGACTTTGGGCAATGGTATATAAATTTGGGATTTATCAGTGTGTAGTTGTTATTTTAAATCAAGGACTTACGTATAAACAGCTGCAGAGAGAGTTTGGTAATAAAGAGGCAGAAGCTGGGCCCTTGGGGATGTATCCACATTTAGATCTTAGGAAGAAGAGAGGGGCCAGCCTACGAGATGGCCTTTGGGGTAAGAGAACTAAAAGACCATGGTGGCCTGGAAGACAGGTGAAGTTATGAGGAGGGAATGATCAGTTGTGGCACATGCTGCCTAGATGTCTAATAAGATGAACCCAGATTGTTAAATATGTCATTTAGTGAAATGGAGATCATTGGTGACCATTGATTTTGGAGCAATGGGGACAAAAGCCAATCAATTATAGTGACTTACGGAAGAATGGAAGATAAGGAACTGGCGATAGTGATTATGGATAGCTCTCAAGGAATTTGGCTGTTAAAGGGAACAGAAATGGTGTGGTGGCTAGTGGAAGATGTGAGGTCTGGATTTCTTCTTAAGGAAATACTATAGCATGTTTGTTAAGAATAATGGGAATGATCCAGTAGAGAGAGAATGTGATGATGTAGGAGACAAAGTAATAGTTGAGGCTCAGAATCCATGAAGAGATCAGAGGGAATGGGATTCACCTGGAGGGGCTGGTTGTAGGCGAGGACAGCTCGTCCATTGTAACAGCAGGGAAGGCTGTGCTAGGAGGGGATAGGTGAGCTAGGTTAGTAGATTTGGTGACAGGAGGATGTGATAGTTGACATTGTTTTTATTTCCTGAGTGAAATAGGAAGTAAGAAAATCAAATGAGGTTGAAGTTGAAGATAGGAGGTTTTGTTGGTTTGAGAAGAAAGGAGAAAAAGTGTAAAACAGATGTTTTAGAAAGTGGGAAAGCGAATTTACTAGGACAGTTTAGTAGGATTAGGGCAGCAGATTGAGCTGACTACTTAAGATCTGTGATTATAAATTTAAAGTGAGATGTGTCAGCACCACTGCTTATTTCCTCCAGTTACCCTCAGCTGTTTGCAGGCTTCTTGAGTGAAGGAAAAAAGTTGGCTTTCACCATGGTTGTGGTTTTTGCCAATGCAGATGTTTAAGGAGGGAATAAAGACGTTAAGTCTGCAAGGGAATGGTGAGTGTTGGACTATCTGATGAAAGCTGGTTATTTGGGAAAGTGAGGACGTGGGATGGTAAAAATGATAGATTTAAGAATTGCTGGAATGAAAAGCCTGTAGAATAATAAGCTGGTTTGTGGGATGTTTGACGTTGAGTTTCTGAAGATGTGCATGAATTAGTAATGACGGAATGAAAAATCATTTGAAAAGCTTAATATTCAAATTAACACAGTCGTTTTAAACCCAAAGGGAATTCATCAATTTTGTGGTCCTAGTTAAGTCATTACATTATCTGCTCACTTATTAAGTTCAGATCAATTTTTCTAAATAGTTCTTTACAAGTTTATATATATGTGTATATATATATATATATAAACAGTGTATATATATAAAAAGTAGCTCTAAAAAAACCATTATCTAAAATGGAAAAGGGGTATATACATTTTAGAGCTTTAGGACTACTTTTTAGTCACTTAATTTCCAATTAAAATTTATCTTAATTAGAGCTTTTTTCTTATTGAGGTATAATTGACGTATAACATTAGTCTCAGTTGTATAATATAATGTTTCAATACTTGTGTATATTGCAGAGTGATCCAGGTTTAGTTATCTGTCATCAAACATAGAATTACAATGTCAGGGATATTTCAATACGAAATATGGATTCTGATCTCATTTCTAAGTAGTGATTTTTAATCAGTCAACTTGTTATAAACTTACATTGTGCAATAAAAAAGGAAAATACCTTTTGAAAGCAATTTAATGAGTTTTGATATTGATTTAAACTAGGTGCTCATGAGAAGCAAGAGATAAAGAAGAAGAAAACTGAAAAGGGGATGCCTACTGCACACCCTCCGGCTGCTGCTGCTTCCAAGCCCTCTGCAGATCAGATCCGACAGAGCGTCAGACATTCTTTCAAAGATATTCTCATGAAAAGGTAACATGCATTGTTATTGTAGAAGATTGAATAATGTATGCTTCACCTATTTGAAAAATAATTGAATTATTCTAATTTTAAGACTTACAGACTCAAATTTGAAGGTACCAGAGGAAAAGGCAGCCAAAGTTGCCACAAAAATTGAAAAAGAGCTTTTCTCTTTTTTTCGGGACACAGATGCTAAATACAAGAACAAATATAGAAGTTTGATGTTCAATCTGAAAGATCCTAAAAACAATGTAAGTATGTTTTGTTCATGTCTGGTTATTTATGTTTCTAACTTTCCTAAATACACAGGGATTTATAATTATAATACAGTAGGACTGTAATTTGCTTCTTGAAGTGAGACCATGTAATTTTAATAAAGTCTTTTGCTACTGAACTGAGTTATGAATTCTGCACAGTAGTGACTAGTATTATACAATGTCTATTAAAATATAAAATCCTAAATATGTCTTAACCTGATATAGGTGAATTTTCTTGCCTAAATGTCCCTTGTTTAATCCAGTTTATTAAAAAAATTCATTCATATGTATTCTTTAAAAACTCATAACACTATATAATTAATACTTCTGATTTAAATCTGAAAATAGAACTACACCCCTTAGGAAAATAATTTTACTTTGGATTAAAAGAACTATTTGAAAATATTTTTATTAATTTAAATATGGCTTTAGTGCTAAATATCTTTTAGCAGTGGAATAAACTTTAATTTGATCCTTAATTTTTTCATGAGATTTCTTATTTGGGACTCAGAGGAAATCTAAAAGCTGTGTGTGTAGATGCAAACTCCTTGCATATTTGCTTATGTTGTATAAGGTTTTCACATAAGTGGTATCAGTTTGTCAGTTTGTGTAATGGAGTTTACTGTAGTGTGTGATAATGAGGTATTTTCTTGAAGTATACTGACAGCTGCTTAAGAAAATTCTAAACTGAACAAACTGCCATCATGGCCCAGGGGATCAGGTGCTTTTTGATCTGAAAGCCTTTCTTCAAGGAAATATTTATTTTCTTTAGGTTTTTTTCTTGTAGTTCTTTGCTCTGGAGTTACCTCCAAGCCTGTTAGGATTTAATCATATGAAATCTTGAAAATAGGAAAGTCATCACATTCTGTGAAGTTCTTTTATGCAGCTATGGGTTGACTATTATGACAGTGTGTTCCTGGGAAGACGTGATACAACTTTTGGATAGGTGTCGTAATGACTTCATTGTACTTGCTTCTCCATTATGTGTTGATTTTTGTACAGAATGTGTATTTTGCTGCCTTGGTGATAAGTTTCTAGAACACAAGGCTGTCATTTATTCTCTTTGTAGTAGGTAATATGTAAATCATTAAACATTTGTAAATCAGGTTTCAAAATTGCATCTTTATTTATTACAAGTTAGTTTACAGCAGCTCCTCTTTCTGTTTAAAATGTTTTTCTCTCTTCATTTTTAAATCCTTCCAGATATTATTTAAAAAAGTGCTGAAAGGAGAAGTAACCCCTGATCATCTTATAAGAATGAGTCCAGAAGAGCTAGCTTCTAAAGAGTTAGCTGCTTGGAGACGAAGGGAAAACAGACATGTAAGATTATCTGTGAATATATGTTTGTCTATATCAAAACCTATCTTTTTCAGCCATAGGGAAAAATTATGTACACAGGAACACACTTTTTGTTTTATGCCTTTTGTTACTGATCCTCCATTAGCCTGTTCTTAAATTCTTTTTTTTTCTGATCTCGTCTGATTTTTATTCATTTCCTCCAGTTATCAGCTTACAAAATTACCTTTTATTTTGTAAATCAGAAGGATAGGAAAATAGATACATCTTTTTTCTTAATCACATTTGTATGTTTCAAAGGCACAGTTTGAAGGTATTATGAATATTGATAATTTGTGGAGCCAGATTAAGTCAGGATGAAAATTTTATAGATTTATAATCCCTTTTTATTCAGTTCCACTTGCCAAAGGCTTTAAATAAATAATTTTTTGGAAACAAGTTTATTAATGAAATATGACTTTGAAGTGTCATGCATGAATGTCCATATTCACAGAAATATTGTGTTTAATTAAGTAGTGCTTCCCAGATCTAACTGTTATGTCATATATAGCATGTACTGCATTTTTAAAACTGAAAAATTCTGAGAGTCATCAATACCAAGAGTTTTCATTTGGGGATTGTGAACTTGAAATACTTTGGAAGATGAAATGAGTATGTGGCTTCCAGTTATTATGACAGTGAGAAGCCACATTACCCACTGTTTTCATTACAATGGCCTTAAATATTAGCCCTTTATTCTAGAGAACACCAGTTCCTCATAGTTCATATTAACTCTATGATTTACCTGACTCTCTTCTCCATAATACTTTCTTGCATCTTAAGCATTAACCCTCCATGTTGATCTTCTACCACATCTAGTTTGAAGCGCAAGAGGCCATAATTTGAAAGATTATACTTACTCAGATATTTCTTCGCTTTCATCCTACGTAATTTCACCTCTTTTATCGTGGAAATAGTATCACCGTCTCTCCTTTGCCTCCATAGCCCTCCTTCTGCTTTGAAACTGTGGCTGCAAGTATCACCTGCAGAGCACACCAGCTTGCTCTTTGGGCTGTGTGATCTGATTTCTTTCCTTAAAGGAAGAGTTGCACTTAACAGTGGCAAGATGAACGACTCGACCCATATTTACCTTCCTTAACCTGTTCCACTCTTGGCTGTCTTTTACTAGTTCTTTCCGCTCCTGCTCAGTTATTTGCTACGTTTTATTGCTGAGCTTGTTCAGCTATGACTTCCCACTGTCGCACAGTGTGTGTGCTCAGTCAGAGGACCACTGATGGGAGGGACTGTGTTTTAATGTTTGAGTAAACTTCTGATGTTGTGGGGGATGTTAAAACTTCAAGTTAGGAATCTAAGAGGAAGTTGGTTCTCATTTCTCAGTGGCAGCTGCTGAAGTACTAGATTAGAAAGCAGATTTTGAATATAAATGTCGTGTCTCATCAGTGTGCAAATTATACTGCACTTCACTTGCCTCCAGTTAGTGGGCATGTAAATGTCACCAGGCTGAGGCATGAGGTCTTATTCCTAAAACCCCAGAGACTTTAAAGTCTCTGACGTTTGTAAATACTCAGTGTATGTTTGTGGTTTGAGAGACCAGCTAAAGATTAAAAATCATCTGTGATTTTAATTATAAAGTATTTCTTTAAAATATTTCCTGTTAGACCATAGAGATGATTGAGAAAGAGCAGAGAGAAGTGGAAAGACGACCAATCACAAAAATAACTCATAAAGGTGAGATAGAAATTGAGAGTGATGCTCCAATGAAAGAACAGGAAGCAGCCCTGGAGATTCAGGTAAATTATGATAATAAAGATAATATGTTTTACAGTGCTCAAAACATGAAGATTCAGAAAAGATTTATTTGCCTAAGTTCTTAAAGTAGAATACTTTTTAAAACTCTATTTATTAATGTAGCTTATTTTATTGATTTAATGGTTTTTTGAGAGTGTTTATAAAGTATCGCTTCTCAGTATGCAGTATGCAGACTGTTTGCATCACAGGCACCAGTTAAACACTTTGTTAAAATGTAGATTCCTGGGGTCTCTGACTTAGCAGATTTCCTAGGAGGCCTTGAAATCCATAGGTGCCTTTTTAGGCAGACTGTGGTCTGAGAGCTGGTGTGGCTTTTTCTTATTTTCAGAATCGGTGAGGAAATAATGTGAAATCTTGTTAGAGGCCTTGAAGAATAAGGAATGTTTGAGTTTTTACTCTATTTTAAGTCATAATTAATATCTAGCAATTATTTCTTTAAAGAAGTAGCAAAAAGCAGCCAATGAATCTAACAGTTTTATTTTGGAAAAAATATTGATATGCAATATACATTGATTTAAGTAATTGAGGCCAAATTTTTTCTAATAAAACTTGTTTTTACTCTCACTTTTGTTAGGAACCCACAGCTAATAAGTCAGCGGAGAAGACGGAAGGATCTGAAAAACAAAAAGAAGAGATTGACTCCATGTCTAAAGATACCACTAGTCAACACAGACAACATCTTTTTGATCTTAACTGCAAAATTTGCATAGGTAATTGGGGGAATGTTTTTCCCTAAAATGTAGCTTCTGTTTTGAAATGGGGATGCTTGTAATTTACATAGGTTTTTGGTTTCTCGGTATTGATGGTGAGTCTGATGGTGATGTAATAGTAGTAGTTGTAGTGAAATCAATTTAGTAAGTAGTTCCTAGCATTTCAAAAACAAACAAGAAAAGAGAAAAGAGAATATCATGGTGAACTGCACTTGTGAAGGTAAGTACGATTTTGAGAGGCTTTAGTTCCAGTCATTTCTGTATAACCCAAAAAAGCCATGCACGCTTACATATGCACACACACACAAATGCATATATACACACACTTGCACGTGCACACAGGGTGTGAAGTATGTGTGTATACAAGTGATGGATCATGATATAAAATGTTACTTTACAGATTATGATAAAAATGCTGAAAATCTACTTCGGTAGGCCATATTAAAGATATTTGTCTTTAATCTAAGAGCAATGGATAGCAATTAAAGGGTTTTTTTTAGCAGGGGAGTGACATGATCATATTAGATTTTTACGAAGATTTCTCTGACTTTGAGCTTATGGTGAAGAAGCCAAGAGAGGATGGAGGGAGACTACGTAGGAGGCTTTGCACTAGTCCAAGAGGGAGATGAAGATAGTTTTAATTAGAGAAGTTGCATTGGAGATGGAAGTAAGTAGAGGTTTTGAGATATTCAGGTTAGGTGTTATTGACAGATGTTGGAGATTGACTGGATTTAAAGCATAAGAAATGGGGATGTGTTGAGAAAAAGTTTAAGTTTATATTCAGTTTATTGGTAAAGGTGAAGGATCAAGAGTTTTTTAAAACTCCAGAAATGTAGCTCTCAATTTTTTTTTTTTTACTGTAGTATTCTAAAGAAATGATACATACATTGTTCATTAAGATGAAAAGTTCTTCAGGTTAGTCAATAAGCTGCCCACCATCATTGTATTAGGGGCTAGATGAAATGTGTTATAAATTAGGTCATTTTCCTATAATAGAAATAACCATATCTTCTCAAAATTAAGTGTGTTCACGCATCATACAATCTGTACAATGATAAAGACTTAAAAGGCAGAGTGTTTTTATTTTTATTTATTAATTTTTTTCTGTCACTTTATTTTTGTTTTTATTAATTTACTTTTTGACTAGGCAACTTCTTTTATTACTTTTTAATTGAAGTACAGTCAGTTACAATGTGTCCCATTTCTGGTATATGCTAAATACACATATATTCGTTTTCAGAGTGTTTTTAGACATTGTTATCACTGAAGAAAGCTATCCAGGTGCAATAGTAATTTTACATATACACATTTGGTGGTTTTGTCTGGAAAACTTAATAAAAATTTTTTCTATTAATTTTAATCTGTGTAATTTTAACCTATAAATTTCTATTGATTTTAATGATTTAAAATTAGGTTTAGTATTATATTTATAATTAATACAATGTTTATTATAATATTTAAGAAAATTAATAGTACACAAAACATGTTAAATATTACTAGACGACCTATTTTCAGAAAGTTTGAGTGATTTTTTTTTCTTTCATGATGCTATAGCTAAAACCAATATCATTTTCTAAACTTTAGTAATGTTTTTCATATTTAGTAGCTAAATAGCATTGTAATGTGCATATATGTCATGGACTGCTGGTATATGTAACATAAAGTAGGATACAGATTTGTTTTACTTAGTTCTTCACATTACCTCTCAAGACTGTTGGAATTCAGTGTAGTTTAGTTAAAAACATGTTTGCTAAGGAATCAGGAACTCTGTTTTAGGTTCTAGTTATAATGTTTCCTTTATAAAAGCTTGTCTAAGTTGTTTAACATTCACTTTTAACTTTTCACATCAATAAAAAAGGTGTTCTATAACTCTGTGAGAAATGGTGATAGTTGAAAATTACCTCAGGAAATGTCTGGTCATGCAACAGTTCAATCAGGAAAACTGAATAACTTTAGAAGTGAAAATGGATAAAGTTATAGAAATTTCAGTTTACAAAAATGGTTTATTTGGGTATCTTCTGACTTTAGGTCGAATGGCACCACCAGTTGATGATCTTTCTCCAAAAAAAGTGAAAGTTGTTGTTGGAGTATCTCGTAAACATTCAGACAATGAAGCAGAAAGTATAGCAGATGCGTTGTCTTCAACCTCAAATATTTTGGCTTCGGAATTCTTTGAAGAGGAGAAACAAGAGTCTCCAAAGTCAACATTCTCTCCTGCTCCTCGGTAATTTTCTCTTAGTTATAACTTCTGTAATAACCTTTATAGATCTTTGCCAAATTACAGGAGTCTTAGAAAAAGTAAGTCATCAAAGAAAAATTACTTGCATCTCTCTGGGCCTTAGTCCACCTAAGCCAGCCAAGAAGGATGGCTTTGTAAAACATGAGTATGTAAATGTGAGCATATTTTATATAGTGGAAATAATAGACTTGTCAGTGAATAGCCTTTACATATTTTGACCTTGACATGCTGAAACAGAAATAATTGATGAATAAGTAGAAAATGTATTTATTCATAAGCATATCTTTAGGCTGAAAAATTCTTAATGTTATTTTTTAGTCCAGAGATGCCTGGAACTGTTGAAGTTGAGTCTACCTTCCTGGCTCGGTTGAATTTCATCTGGAAAGGCTTTATCAACATGCCGTCTGTAGCAAAATTTGTTACCAAAGCCTACCCCGTGTCTGGTTCCCCTGAGTACTTGACAGAGGTACTGTGACCTTTTCTGCCCTTCTGTGCCTGGGTTGATAGGTGTGTTTCTGAAGGCAATAGGCAAGGAAACAATATAGCAAAGTAATAAAAATTTTATTTTCATTCATAATAAAAATATTTATTGACAGTGATCCTTAACCATTCAATTAGTGGAACTGTGTATACGGAGGGCAGACTAATACGTTATACTCAGATTTTCAGCTGCATGGGGGATGGGCACCCCTAACCCCCATGCTGCTCAAGGATCAGCTATATAGTTGAAACTGCAGCCAGCTGCAGTGCTGCGACACGGCTGGCCGTGACTGCTGCAGTGGTACCCTTCATTGGCTTTTATACCTGTGGGAAGAGGAAGGAACTGTTGAGCAACATTTATGGAAAATAAGAGCTGTGGTACTATTGTATTAGGTGAATTAGAAAATAGAACATTTTTGGAACTATTTTGAATAAAGTTTGTATTTTTCTGTGTTTATGCAGAAGGAAAATAATTCAGTCTATTTATACTATTTTTGTTGGTGATATTTTGCTATTAATTGTGCCCATATCTAATTTTCCATTCATTCTCAGTCTGCTGACTAAAGGCAAAAGTTTTTTTTTTTACAATGCTTTTCAGTATTTCATAAAATGTAAATCATGCATATATCTATTCTTTTTAAGATTGGCATAAACTTTTCTTTGTATTAGGATGAAATTAGTTTAACTCAGTGTAATGTTGCTTATCTAGTATTAATCAGCTTATTTGTCTAGGAGTTGTGCTTTTAATTAATAAACAACTTAATTATTATTTTTATATATAGTTTGCTTAGCAAGTAATATTTTAGAAACATTGATTTTATAAGAGAAAAATTCAGTGGACCCATGATGCTTTTCTTTTTGAACAACTGTTTAGAAATTCAGTCTTTGATCAGTCCATGGTGAGGATAACTCTTCTTTTAAATGGAGAATTAAGTCCTGAACTATGGAAACCTTTTGATTTTAAACAAAACTATTGTTCTCTTTTCTGAGCCAGTTTCTATGTGGTTGCTTTCCAGAGCTCCACCTGTGCTTTCTGCTTACTTTTAGTTTGATTTGGACTAAAATCCCAAATCAGATACTTAAAACAATTAATCATTTCAGTAAAGTTAACTGAATTTATATCAATTAATAATGCTTTTTATGATTTTTCTCAGTCTTGAGAAAAATAGAAATGTCCTGATTAAGTATTCTTAATTGCCCAGTTCTTAACTGATCTTATGTATAGTTGTCTGTTTTCAGGAAGATTGCGCCTTAAATGAACCTTGCATTATTACAGTGTTACTCTCGTCTGTGCAGAAATATACTCTACAACTTGATAACTTGTAAAATCCAGCTGTTAAGTGATTAGGGCATACCCCAGCTCACCACCACCGAAAAAGAGGGGGAGGCGGGAGGGGAAGAACAGTGTCCCGCGGTGTTCTGAAGTCTGTTGTGCTCTTCATGGATGTCAAAGTGGTGTGCTTGCACCACGTCCTCTCCTTGTGCCTGTTGTCCCTGCTGACATTTGAAGTAAAGCCTGATTGCTGTCCCTGTGCTTCCTTGTGCTCTCTGATGTGTTTCATAGTCTTGCTTATTTGTTTTTTACTATTATTTCAAGTTAGTCTTTGAGCTAAATTTGTATAAAGAATAAATATTACAATAAAGATGATCTGAATACATTGATGCCTTTCATTTTTTTTTACCACAGGATCTACCAGATAGTATTCAAGTAGGTGGTAGGATATCACCTCAGACAGTTTGGGATTATGTGGAAAAAATTAAAGCCTCAGGAACCAAGGTAAGGAGAACTCTTTTCACTATAGTAGCATGAGAAAATACCTGAAAAATCCACTGAGAGTCTTACGCACGGTTGCCTGGGGAGGGAGCCAGTACAAACTCCAAATCTGCGTAATGTGCCTGACAGAGCTGAACTACAGCCATTTGCCAAGGCTCAAAGCCTTACATTTTTGGGTTTTTTTTTTTTTTTTCCCTCTTCTCTCTGTCTTCGATTTGTTCTCAGTGATTTTTGTTGTTGTTTTGGAAGAAATGTTTTAGAGTACGTATTGACATTCATCCTGGAATTTTGCCTTGCTTTGATTGTAGACGTTTGTTTTAGTTAGGGCATAGTCCAAGCTGTTGCAACAGAGAGACCCTAAAATATAGTGGTTCAAAGAATATAGTTGTTTATTTTCCTGTTATGTTAAGTAGGTCAGTGGTTCAGAGTGGTTAGGCGGCTCTGGTTCTAAAAGGTCATTCAGGGATTAGGCGCCTCTGTCTTGTTATTTTGCTGTTTCCAAGACTGTTGCCCTTAGTCAAACAGGGTCAAAGCTGACTTATCAGAACCAAGTGAGAAACAAAAAAGAATGCCTGTCCAGTTGTTTTTAAAAGCAAGACCTAGAAATTAAGAGTTATCATTTCACTTCCTCCAACTTCCATTGGCAGGAGCTTAGTCACATAGCCTTGTATGGCTGCTAAGGAGTCTGGGAAGTGTGATCTCTGTTGGATGGCCATGTGCCCAACTGAAAGTTAAGGGCTTCTCTTTGTAATTGGAGGAAAGGAGGAGAATACATACTGGGAGATAATTAGGAGCCTCTATGGCAATAATATTTTCCTTTTTCTTTTCTCTGTCTGTATCTTCTATCATTTCTTTATCTCATAGTGTTTTCCTGTACATGACTGTACAGGAATATTTAATCATTAGAAAAAATTGTTTTCCCCTCCAAGGATGATAGTACCTAGTGTATTATAGACATTCAAGAAATAAATCTTGAATATGTGACCATCAATATTTTTATCTCTTAAGAGCAGAAGTCTCTAGTAAGATTAGAAGTAATTAAAAACGGGTGATCTTCAGCTGAAAATATTTTTCCAATATGAATTTTAGAATTTAAACTGATACAGGGCTAGAATACAAATGAACTTTGAAAAACTATTTTAAAAAAACGTTACTACATTATTTGCTTTCGCTTTCTCATGACAGCTAAAGTCACAGGAAGGTATTGGGAAGTGTTAACGCCTGGAGATTTTGCGATTTGTTCTTAATCTGCCCACGTATTACTGACCAGTACAGTGTGCCTCTGTCTTGAACTGACTGACACGCTGTAATAGTCGTTGCCTCCAAAGGAGGACATTCTGGCTGACAGACCTTTTTTAAGAGGTGGAGCCATAGTTCAGCTCATTCACATGGTTTTTTCTAGGATCTTGTAACAACTTAGGCTTTGTAGTAGATCTGGCTTTCCCCATTTAATTGTATACTTTCATGAAGAAGCATCCATTTTTCACACTATGAAATTAATGCCAAATTGGGACTGTGTTTTCTACCTGAAACAAAGCCAAGAACCCAGAGGCAAACAGATGAGTTCCTGAGGAGGCCAAATGATTTTACCAAATTTATAGCATATGTGTATTTGAGGTTTTTCACTCAGACCCTTTTATTCCTAAATTGAGTCCCTGTAAACTGGATTATCAGTGGATTTGTGTGTTTCTTGGTAAGTGTACATGGTAGGATGATGGTAGGTACTGTTAATTTTTCGTGTGCTGAGAATGCAGGCAACTCTCTATACAAGTTATAACATTGGAAATAAGGATATAGTATAGATATCAAAAACTTGGTTTTAAATATCTTCTCTGCCACTAACAGTTGTGTCGCCTTGAACAAATTACCTTGGGACTCAGTTTCTCATGGGACATTTTTAGATAAACGATTCCACCAACAGAGCAGCAAAGGTCTTTTCCTAAGAGCTGTTTCCTTTTAGTATTCTTATCTGCATTTAAGGTGGTAAACCGTGTTATTTGTTAATTGGAGTAAAATTCAGTAGATTATTACTAACTGAGAAATGGTATTTAAAACCAAGCTGTTGTTTTGGTTACTATTTTAAACCATTTCTGTTTTCTTGAATAGGAAATTTGTGTGGTTCGCTTCACACCTGTGACTGAAGAAGATCAGATTTCTTACACTTTGCTGTTTGCGTACTTCAGCAGCAGGAAGCGCTATGGAGTGGCTGCTAACAACATGAAGCAGGTTAAAGACATGTACCTTATCCCTCTGGGCGCCACGGATAAAATCCCACACCCTCTCGTGCCCTTTGATGGACCTGGTAGGTACATAGTTAACAACAGAGTGTGAATGAAACGAAGTGAGCGGCGGGGCTCCAGTGGAGAAGCTGGCTGTGCTCTCCTGGGAGCCAGCCCAGTCGGTGTGACCTGACAGGGACAGGCTCCCATTTAAGAGGCTGTACTAAGCTAGGTGCAGATGTTTTACTATTTATTGTAGTGATTGAAAGTGACTGTTAATTGGTGCTTTTCACTCTATACAGGGCTTGAACTGCACAGACCTAATCTGTTGTTGGGTTTAATTATTCGTCAAAAACTGAAGCGGCAACACAGCGCTAGTGTTAGCACCAGTCATGCAGCTGAGACGCCGGAAGGTGTGCCAGTAACATTGCCGCCTGATAAGAAAAGTAAGATAGAAGTTTCCACAGAGGAAGCGCCAGAGGAAGAAAATGACTTCTTTAATTCTTTTACAACTGTGTTGCACAAGCAGAGAAATAAGCCTCAGCAAGCTCTTCAGGAAGACCTTCCCACAGTAATTGAACCTTTGGTGGAAGTCAGCAAACAGGAGCCACCGAAACCTTTAAGATTCCTTCCTGGGGTCTTGATTGGCTGGGAAAATCAACCTTCTACTCTGGAATTGGCAAGTAAACCCCTTCCTGTGGATGATATCCTCCAGAGCCTCTTGGGCACTTCTGGTCAAGTGTATGAACAGGCCCAGGCAGTGATAGAGCAGAGCACTGCTAAAGAAATTCCGTTTATAAATGAGCAAGCCAACTCCAAAGCGGAGAAAATAGATACAGTGGAAGTAACTGATGGTGAAGCCAAGGAAGTAAAGGTTAAAGGAGATAATCTTTCAGAATCTACAGGTAATTCGGGGGGAGGAGGAGGAGAAGAAGCATCAGGAATGGGGACCTCTTCCGTTTCTCCTGGACCTTTGACAAGTCTTAGCCTCAGAGGTAAACCGCCAGATGTTTCTACAGAAGCATTCTTAACAAATTTATCAATTCAGTCAAAACAAGAGGAGACTGGTGAGAGTAAAGACAGAGCATTAAAAAGACAGCCGCTGCAAGATCAAGAGAGTAATTTGCAAGATAATCGGACTTCAAATACTGGTTCTCCCTGCAGGTCTAACGTAGGGAAAGGAAACACAGATGGTAACGTGAGTTGCAGTGAAAACCTTGTTGCTAATACAGCAAGGTCCCCGCAGTTCATCAACCTGAAAAGGGATCCTAGGCAGGCAGCAGGACGAAGCCAGCAGATGCCTGCTTCAGAAAGCAAGGATGGAGACAGCTGCCGGAATGGGGAGAAACACCCTCTGCCTGGCCTGTCACACAAGGAGCACTTACCAGAACAAGTCAGTGTTGAGGAGAAGTCGCCTTCTGCGGAGAAAAACTCGTGTGTTCAGCAGAGTGATAGTTCAGGGGTCGCACAGAATTCACCGTCAGTAGAAAATACACACACTTCTCAAACGGAGCAAGCAAAGCCCTTACAGGAGGATATTTTAATGCAAAATATTGAAACTGTGCACCCATTTCGAAGAGGATCAGCAGGGGCAACATCTCATTTTGAGGCTGGAAACACATGTCAATCAGAGTTTCCTTCTAAAAGCATCAACTTCACTTCCAGAAGCACCAGCCCCAGAACAAGTGCAAACTTTTCACCCATCAGGCCCCAGCAGCCCAGCCTTCAGCATCTCAAGTCTAGTTCCCCTGGATTTCCATTTCCAGGACCTCCTAATTTCCCCCCACAAAGCATGTTTGGATTTCCACCACATTTGCCACCCCCATTACTTCCTCCTCCAGGCTTTGGTTTTGCTCAAAATCCCATGGTTCCCTGGCCACCTGTTGTTCATCTGACAGGCCAGCCACAGCGTATGATGGGTCCCCTTTCACAAGCATCAAGGTACATAGGCCCACAAAATTTCTACCAGGTTAAAGACATTCGGAGACCAGAAAGGCGCCATAGTGACCCTTGGGGTAGGCAAGACCAACAGCAACTGGATAGACCGTTTAACAGGGGTAAAGGGGATCGTCAGAGATTTTATAGTGATTCCCACCACCTGAAAAGGGAGCGCCATGACAAAGAGTGGGAGCAGGAATCTGAGAGGCATAGACGCAGAGACAGAGCCCAGGACAAGGACAGAGACAGAAAAAGCAGGGAGGAAGGGCATAAAGATAAAGAGAGGGCACGGTTGTCACATGGGGATCGAGGAGCAGACGGAAGAGCAAGCAGGGAGAGCAGGAGCGTAGACAAGAAGCCGGACAAGCCTAAAAGTGAAGACCAGGAGAAGGACAAAGAGCGAGAGAAGAGTAAGCATAGAGAAGGAGAAAAGGACAGAGACAGGCACCACAAAGATAGGGACCACGCCGACAGAGCTAAGAGCAAAAGGTAAAGGTCGCAGGCTGCTTCGAGATCACGTTTAAGTAACTGTTGAGTGTTATCCTAAAAACTTCATGATTGCCTGCTAGGATTGTGCCATCTTTTAAATTTTTAATATTGGTGGTTTGCAGAACAGTCAACTCTGTGTGTGGTGCAGCGTGCTCTGTACCAGTGCTCACCATCCCTTCATATCAACTGTCCCTAGTTATAGCAGTTTAATATTTTTAAAAGTTTTACATTGCTGTATATTCAAAGATTTGTTTTATTAATATGCAATAAAGGCTTAGAAATTTTAGTTTTATTCCTAAATTGGTAAAAATGGTTAACTATGGAGTATATTTACTGCCTCTAGTGAATGTCCTTTATATAATGACTAATTCGAGAGTAATGTGTACTCTGTAAGTTTGTTTTCAGTTGCACTGTTTTTAAAGAAATGGTAGAGGAGCAGCAGAAAGCCAAGCAACTTCATAATCAGATTATATTAATCATTTAGTGGAGCAGTTTTTGACCAGGAATCGGAGCCCGAGGAGTCCGTGTATTGCTTTAGTCTGCACTTGTTGAAGGCATCTGTTATCGCACTACAGCTTCGTGGTAGCCCACTATTTTCTTTTCCATTTTTGGCTCTTCAGAAACTTGAATACTTAAGCTTGTACATGATCTTGTGTTTTGCTATCCTTTTTACTGTAAAATGTACATATTTTAAGGGATATTTTGATTCTAAATATGATAAAAGAATTTCTCACCTATTTTGTGTGTGTGCTTTGAAATTCAGTCGTAGAAGAATTTCTTCTTTACGGCTTTACTTACGTTCAGACATTGTCTTCCCCTTACTCAGCCAAGAATATACAGGCTAAGTAAGATGAGGGGAAGAACTCTTTATCTTAGATTATAGGCTATTGAGATAAATTGTGTAGTTCTGAAGAGACTAGAATTTAGAACTATCACTGGAAAAACTGTGCAGCTCTATAACCCACTTTATAGGTATGTTTCTGAAAATTGGTGCACCATCAGAATTTGGTATACTGACTAATCATTGTATGAGCACAGAGCTTTTAAGAAAAACGTTTTGTGAATCTTTTTGTAAAATGTGTCATTAACCCTAACTTGTTTTGGGGGGTAACTACAGTTTCGTATACAAGTTTTACTTTAAAGCACATGAGACCATTGTTAACCCAAATCTAAATTTATTTGCACCTGAAACTACTTACTGTATTGATCGCTATAATATAAAGCAGTAGCTACCAAATGATAACAAACACTTGGGACCAAAGAGGGAGAAACCAATATTTTTACTTCCCTGTGTTAATGAAAAATATAACTGACTTCACAAAATTAAGAAGATAAAACGTGTTTGTTTTCCTAAACAGTTGACAGATCAGAGTTAAAAATAGGTTTTGAAACTGAATCAGCCTTGCTGTTCTTACTGGAGAGAGAACCAGTGGAAATTCAACACTAATCATTTTGTCTAATTTACAGCAACTTGAAACCCCTTTTGTGGTCATCCTGATCCTCTGAAATTTATCATCAAATAAGTTCTGAAACAGAGGATTTGTATTCAAATAAAGTTTGTTTAAATTTGCTCTACTTTTCTTTTGGAAACTAACTTGTTAGAAAACAAGTCAGTCTGCAAACAAAACTCGCCTTTTGGGACTTTCTGGAATTTTTTGGCCCCCATCCGGTGGTTGATTCAAGGATGTAGAACCCACAGATATGAAGGGTCCATTGTGTGTTTGTCGATAAATCTGCTTTCACTGACCTCTCTGTTTGGGGGGTCGATCAGACACAAGGTTTCTTTTGCGAGGTACAAGTAAAGAAGAATGGGTTAGCCAATTGAAAAGCCTCTAAGTCAGTCTTGGATTCCTTCTTACCCAGTGGTATCTCATACATACTGTTGTTACATTTACTTCACGGTTCTTTCCTCCTGTCTCGGAGAATTGACAGATCCCACGTAGCCCTCTGTTAGTTGACCATCTTTGGGGATTACAGGGCTACCAAGTGATAGAGCCAGGTCTCTCAGCCCCTGGCTGACTGAGATATTGTGGAGGGTAGGTTTTGGCATAGTAACTAAATACTTTAAGGTTTTTTAACTTGTGAGGAGAGAAAGGAAAGATGAGAAAAGTTCCCAGTAAGTGCTAATTCCAAAGCCATTCTCATTGTCTTAAGTCTCACCTATCAGCCAGCCTTACACAAATTAGCAGTTACATGAAATTCATCTTTTAGTTTCTCCTGTTTTAAGGCAAGCTTGCTCTTTTAAAAACAGTTTGATGCTTTAAAAAACTTAGAACCATGTTAAGACAGTTCACACACCCCTCTATTAAGTAAAATGTACCAGGGTGTCTCAGTGCCTACACAAAGTCCACCTCTGTAGTACTTGTGGCAACAAGAAAGTCTCCGTGAACCCTCTCTGTGTCAGACCTGGTGTTGAGAGCTTTACGTGAACCTTAGCCAGCCCGAAAGGTGAAGACTTGTCTTAGAGCTGAGGAAACTGGTACTTAGAAAGCTGAGAAACTTGCCCAAGCTTAGGCTGCTGTTGCCAGAGGTGGAATTCCAGCTCAGTTCTCCTTTTCTCCGAAAGCCTGTATGTGTCGCACTGGTGCTCTGAGAATTGAGAATGAGGGAGAGGGGCAGAGGCCTGATCATCACACGGACCTTTCACAGCCCTTTCTCTCTCCAGTCCACCCACCTGTCTGAATCTCTGCCAGGCAACCATTTCCTCAGAGTGAGCATGAAGACACAACCAAAAACCTGTGGAGTGTCCTGTATAGATTTGCAAAATTCATACTCATTTCAAATCCTAATTCTCCAGTCCTCATTTTGTTAGTTTTCTATTGCTGCTGTGACAAATTATTACAAATTCAGTGACAGAAAACCACACAAATTTATCTTACACTTCTGTGGGTCGGAGTTCTGATGGGGCTCTTAGTGGGTTCAGATCAAGGTGTCAGGAGGGTGCGTTCCTTTTCTGGAGGCTGTGAGGGAGAAGTCATTTCCCTGTGTTTTCCATCTTTTGTAGGCCGCCTGCCTTCCTTGCCCCATGGCCCCCTTCCTCCATCTTCAAATTCACGGACCTGGGGCTGAGTCTTTGCCACCTCTGACCCTCCCTTCTGATCCCTTCTTCCACTTTTAAGGACCCTTGTGAATACACTGGGCCCACCCAGACAATCCAAGATCATCTTATTTTAAGATTCTGCTGATTAGCAACCTAAATTCCATCTGTGAGCTTAATTCCCCTTTGCCATGTACCTAACATATGTACAGGCTCCAGGGATTGGAATGTAGGGAACTGTGAGGATGACAGGCCTTAACTTGCTAATTGTGGGTGAACTCAAGCTCAGTTACAAATCTTTCGGAGTTATAAAACATCTAAGGCCATACCGAATGCTTAAAAGTTAGGAAAAATAATACCAACAAATAGAGAAGAAAATGGAGTGACAAGCCATTTGGATATTATTAATGTGTTTACATATGTGCGTTAACACAAAACTACTAAATAACCGGTAAATTCACATTCAGCTCTTCTCAGTTTTTAATAGTAGCTGTGTGTAAATCAAGCTTCAGTGCATTTTGAGAGCTTGCTAATGAGCCAGCTCTTTTTTCGTTTTTGAACATAGCAGTTAACACTATTCCAGTCTCCTCAGATCCCTCAGAGACGGTGGTAAGGGTTGCCGCTCACTAATGACCAGAGGGCAATAGGCATAGTCAGCACTTGACACTTGTCTCTAAATGCAAATCACAAATAAAACTGGCTACTGCTTTTATAAAGGTGCCTAACACTCTGGTTCTGTGATTCCTGTTTCATGAAGAATTTCAGTAATTCGTGTATAAAGCAAGAGGGTACCTAAATGGGTGAGTTGAAACACAAATAGTAGGTCAGTAGCTAGAGTGTCTTTAAAAAATGAATTCACTGCTTCATCCCATAGGTAAATACTGCTTTCCCCTGGCTTAAATGTTTCAGCTTTAACTGTTCTCACGTTTACATTCAACACTTTGTTTTGGAACCATCATGACTTTTACAGTAAAATTACCTGGACGGTCTTTATCGATTATTTTTATTTTGTGCTGGAAAAGTATGTCACATAGGAAATCTTCAACACCATCATCACAAAGATAGCAAAAAACAATGCTGATAATTTACCACATGAAATTTTGGATTTTAAGGTGAAAAAGTTTTAGCCAAGTCATCTGATGTACAGGAGAATCTCTAGGTAGCAGTTTTCAGTTCTTACTTTGTGCCTATTGTGCAGGCATTTGCTGGGTTCCTGAAATTCAGCGTGAGCAGCGCCCTTCACCTGCAGTCTCCCGGTGCGTGCAGTGTGGTGCAGAAGGCAGATGATCACACCTGCGTGAACAATTGCAGCTACAAGAAGTAGCTTTAAAGCAGCAATTCTCAAAATTACGGTTTCAGGACTGCTTTACACGCTTAAAAATTATTACAAACCCTAAAGAGATTTTGTTATGGATTGTGTCCATATATCCTTATATAGCATATTAGAAATTAAAATGCCAAAAAATTTAAAAATACGTGTTTAACAGTAGTCCTGTTATGCATTAATAACATTTTTATGAAAAATAACTTCCAAGCTAAGTCAGTTTAGTTTAGAGTGATTATATATTTGTACATTTCCAATGTCTGCTTAAGACAGCTGGATTCTCTTAACTGCTTCGGCATTTAATGTTCAGCAATATGTCACTTTGAAATATCTGAAGAAAATCTAGCTTCACACGGATTTGTTGTTGGGCAAGGAAGTACTCTCTGTGGATCCCCTGAAAATATCTAGGGCCCCTCCTGGGTCTACACTTCGGGAAGTGCTGCTTTAAAGGCAGGCACACTGCATTATGAGAACACGTGGCCAAGTGTGTTTCGGCAAAGTTTCCTTGAAGCTTTTGTAGCCTCCCTAGAGCAACTTTCTTGCCTTTATACATATAATATGTACCTTTAAAAGTCAGCTATCAAACGGAAGTTCTTTAGAGCCGTTACCTTTATGATCTCAGTAACTCCAAATTAATGTGAATGGTATGGACCAAAGCAAACTTAGGTCAAAGTTTTTCAGCACGTATCGGAGTTGCCTTGTGTGGTTTTTGTCAGAAAAAAAGGAAACCTTTGAATCAATGCATAGACATCCTGCAATTATACCTTACATTGTATTTTGCTCACACACTGTCTAATGTTGATAAGAATAGTATGTCTGGGCAATTTGTGTCCCATCGAATGATGCCAGAGTTCTTAACTTGAGTTCTAGGGCATATAGGCAAGACTGTCTATAGCCTTCTGATTGCGATGGAGTGGCAAAAATAGTAAGAAAATTCAGCAAAGTTCTCCAGTGATAAAGTGCTAACCTAGTTTCTTTGTATAGACTGGAGTCTGCACAGGCAGGTTTTGCTCATTAATAGCATTGAGAAGTTCCCTGTGCAGCAATCCTATCAGGATAGACTTCTCCATTTAGTAAAGAATTACGAACTTTTTCTCCACATGGCCCTATGCTGCCTGTCAGTGCTTTGTGGCAGACATGCGTTGACAGTGGCTTTCTTGGTGACAAATGGTCTTAAATCTCAAACTCTGAAGATGTTAAGTAACAACAGGCAGTAACCACCTCCCACTCTGCAATGAGGGGGTCAAAATGCTCTTCACAGTGACCTCAATAAGCAGTATTTGGGCAAAAAGGACTTTCTCAAATTACGCTTTTAATGGTACAGATAACATCAGAACAATAGTTTTTGATGACATTACTCAAAACCTGTTTTATGCTCAGTTTTGAGACTGTAGACTTGAAAAGTTAAATGTGAATGAAGTTTAATTTTAAAATTTGATCAGTTACATAGTTTAAAAGGTCAAGTAATTCTGCAAGGTTTATAAACAAAAGTCCAACAGCGTCTGCATTGGTCTTCTATCCAGAGGTGACTGCTTTCATTCAGTTCTTTTAGATATTTCTTATGATACTTGCCTTTATATTTGTAAATGACATGTATACGTGGTTTTTTTTAAGTTATAAAAACTAATATCTATTGATAACTTAATCTGGAAGATAAGGATTTAACTTTCACCAGCCTGGCCTCCTTCCCTTCATCTTCCGTCTTCCCACATTCATGCAGTAATTTAAGTCCATTTTCAGATTTCACATTATTGCAGCCATGTAGGAATTCATAGCTGAGCCATGTAACAGAATATGGTTATATTTCCTTTCTTACATAATTTTACTTTTTCTTTTAGTTAATACTTTATGCTTGTCTGTTTTCTTGTACATATCACTAATTCATTCCCATCTAAATTATTTAAAAACATTTGCCGATGAAGGAACACTAAATGAACAAATGGAGTGAAAACTGAGGACTCAGATAAACTGGCTGTAGGAAACATGACCAAAATCTTTTCTTCAGCTGTGTTTTATAAGCTTATAAAAAAGATGTGTTAGCATTTAGACTGTTTCAGGTAATAGTAATTTGCCAAAGAAATAACTATCAACTGCATTTACAATATATTTTATATACTAAAATCACTAGTTTTAGTTTGTTAACCTAATTTTGTTCATCACCATCATAAACATTGTATCCTTCCGATTTAATTAACTCAATTTTTTTGGAATCCT